TACACTGCTAAATTAGGGACGGCTAGCGCAGATAGCCCTCGTGTAGCTTTGCGCGAAATTCAAAAACAAATAATTATTTTTATTATATTGACCTTTTAGCCATGCCTGGCTAACAATACAGAGTTACAATGACATGGCACACTTGCAATCATGTTACCGTATTCAGTAACATAAAACTGATCTTTGGTCTGTACAAAATAACTTGTCTTGGCTGTGTTTTAGTAGACTAGTGTTTTGTAAAATATAGTCACATTTCCATTATTATACAATTTATATGTATATAGATTATTGCTATTTGGAAATAAGTTCTTAAACTTATTTTTCTTAAAACATAGAACAGTAAATCAAGAAGTAAAGCAAACAAACATCTCTTCTTGTTATGACCATTGTACTTGGTTGCTGCTTGACGTAGGTTGCTAAGCCTTTAAAAAATGTTGCACGTGGAGGATACGAAACAAAATAATTTTTTTTAGGTTTTATATATATACATATGAATAAATAAAATAAATTACTACGTCAATACCCTGGAATTTCACTATAATTTATCAAGCTTAATAACTAAGATGTATTTTAGTAAAAAAAAAATTTTGAGAAAACTAAAGACACTCCCTACCTCGTTGAAATATTGGTTCAAAAGAAAGAAATGGCTCCAAGCCCATTAAAATGCCTTAGAAAGCCACTGGGGGACATTCTGAGCTTCTAATTGGTTATTCATGTCATATATAGAAGTAAGTGTATATAAGGGAGTGTTTCCAAAAATGGAAAGAGGTGGGCGGGGTGCCACTGTATTTGATTTATTACATGAGCAATATATTAGTAAATAGGAAAGATAAGATGTTCTTATTTTATATTCTAGCTTGTCAATATCGGTAATTTTAGTTTCTAATTCATACAAATCTATAGACTTAGCTTTTGACATCACAAACATCTAATTTGAACCAGTACTGCATTCAACATATCACGTGTCACACAAAAATCAATATTTATCTGTGTTTTTTTTTTTTTGTATTTACTTTTAAATTAAGAAATTTAGTAATGTATAGTTTTAAAATTTGAATTATAATCTACAGTTTGATACCAAACGTATTGACATAAACTCGTGAAATAGCAGTTCAGTAAAGTTTTGAATGTGAGTCGATAAATGAGATGACATGACCTTTCATCCGTGACCTTTCTCAAAAGGGTTAATCTCCCAGCTCTATATTAATTATACATATTAAAGATCTGAAGAGAAATTCAAATAATAATATAGCTTAAAATAAAATTTTACCAAGTATATTGCAGTGTACCTAATTTTGACTTCACTGGTGCTGTAATTAACATGGTACATACATGCGACATGAAAATACAGATATCTCAGTGTCTGTTTGTTGTTCATTGGGGGTATTCCTAAAACCATGGTCATTGATAAGTAGATGCAATATGTTGTTGAAATGTGAGTGACCATATCTCTATAAAGTATTAAGTCTTATCAAAAGTATAAATACCTGTTAGTACATTGATTCACTTAATGCATGATACAGTTGTGTGTGTATATATATGTATTGTATGAATGACTTTCTTGATTGTTTTTGATGTTTGTTTCCTCCAATTTGGCAACAAGAAAGAAAAAATAATTATGCAAACATAATTTTTAAATCTTGCTGTGTTTTTAATGTTTATTGTTGAATGTAGAATAGAACAGTTAATATCATTGATTTTTTCTTATTGTATGCTTATATATGTACTTCTATTTGTGTTTATTGGTGTTGTTTTTTTTCCAGTGTTTGACAGCATCTGATTTTTTTAATTTTGTTGATGTTCAACCTGGTGTGGAGATTAAACCTGCTGACTTCCTTAATTTCTGTCCTGCCATCATATTAAAACTTGATCAGCATCCCTGTGAAAATTCATTTGTACATAGCACACATGTACATCATATGCTCGACAAAGAGGTAGTGCACAAAGGCCATAACACTTTCTCTCCTTATGGTAAGTTTTAGAAGAGTATTGACTGCAACATTTAAATATTTTTTTCTGGGTAATTTTGTGTTGTTATTTTTTTTATCATGGCAGACACATTTTATGTATGAAAAACTAAATTATTTGAAAATGAGTAGGAACGAATTAAAAAGTAATGTTTGAAATTTGTTACAAAACATTGTCTGTTTTCGCACTATATTTCCTAAGAAAAATCTTTTGGTAATAAATTGCTCTTTTATAGAAAAATGTAAAAGGTTATGTGTAAGGTTAAAATAATAAATATTTTACTTAATATTCATAACAAGAGCTGAGATATGTACACTGGTAATTAATACAAGTTCATAATTGTTGTTTTGTACATATCATTTATAATAAATGTAAATACATATTTAATAAAACACTATAATTTTCTGAAAACGTTCTCTGCATAAATACCTATGCTTTTTTTCTACACTTTGTTATATTTTTTTTAGAAATTTATACTGGAAGCATTTATAAAAACTTGTTCAACTGTGAAAATATTTTGATTTTTTACCTTGAATTTGTTCTTGATGAAAAACTTACACAGAATTATTTTGTGTATTGTACACTTACAATTGCTATTTTCATTTCTTTATTCTCTTTACCTCTAGACACTACTTATGTTATTTTGGTTGTTAAAGTCTCCAGTTTCACCTAAAATAGTGACAAGTTTGTGACCATCAATGATTAATTATCAGTTTGTAGTTAATATTAATGTTTGGATAATGTGTATCTTTTAACAAGTATTGTTTGGTCATAATATGATCAGGTGCATGGTTATTAGAGGGTCTTTGTTAGTTGTAATTCAAAGGGAATATTAATTTTTTTTGAAATTTCCTTCTCTGAATTGTAATTATAGATGCTTGAAAATCCGAACTGATAGACTTTTAAAATTATGTATTTAATAAACTAGAACACGTACTACTTTTCATTTTTGAGAAAATCAGCTTCAAATTCTTAAGAATCTCTCCTTTCACAATCCTTAGAACAAGCAAGTTCATCTTCTTAGTAACTGTTGTAACAAAATTCAAGAAATAGATTATCAAAATAGATTTTTTCATGCTACAGAGTTTATGATTTATTAATTTTGTGTGTGTATACGTTGCATATGTTCATTTTCCTGTTACACCCTTGAGTATCAACTAACAAACACATTTTAAATATCCACTTTATGTTCAACATGCATGTCATTAGTAATTGACCAGTGTGATTATTTTCCAGTTTTAAGTTAATTATGTTGATCTCCATCACAAAGGAATTTGTTTTTTAAATTATTTACTAATTAAGTGCCAGTAAACTTCTGATGTAACTGCCATGTTTTCTACACCTATATTATGTTAACACCTTAAATATGTATACAAATTCAACTGCAGAATGATAATTAAAGCTTCTTTATGTAAATGTCATGGTTACTATTGCAACATAAGTTCAAGCTAAAAAGATATTTGCTATTCTATAATCTTACTTGGGAGAGATTTGCAAAGTAATAATTTTATTTTTCAATGGTGATTTTAATTAACCCATTAACTGCGGATGATGGATATTTCCGTCATTGAAGTTCTATGGCTCACATATATAATTATAACTCTATGCGAATGACGAAAATTACTGTTTTATTGTGATTGATGGCAACTCAGTTTTATCTGTGAGTCAGAAAATGGCAACTAAGCTGCTCCCACCGCAGTTAATGGGTTAAGTAATAAACAGAAATTAAAGTTTACTTAATTTATCTCCTTTTATATATAAAAACCAGAACCTATATGATGGATTTTCACCCTCATGTACCATTTCAAAGAAATAATTTACATGATGAAATGAGTTTCTGCTTTTGTCAACATCATGCATTTCTAAGCAGTTCATATATGCTTGCTCTTGTTATAGTTTTAATTATGAACAGAGTATATATATAAAAAAAGATTATTTCTTTCTTTATTCTAGCTTGGGGTTATGCCTCTATTTCTGTAATTGTTATAAGCCTGTGTGGTTTGTTAAGTGTGGCTGTAATTCCTGTCATGCAAAGGATGTTCTACCACACGCTACTTCAGTTTCTTGTTGGTATGGCTGTTGGAAGTTTGTCAGGGGATGCTCTTCTTCATTTATTACCACATGTAAGTTGATTCTAATTATTTTTCTTTGAATAACAAAAAAGATATTTAAAATATACTCATATAGTATTGATATCAGTTCAAAATATAATTTTTTTTGTGCCTGCAGTGAATAGAACAAACACATAAGGCCAAAACAAAATACCGAATTTCCTGGAAAATTACCCCTTCCACTGTCTGAGAATAACCACAAAGTGCACATGAAGGCAATGGGAATGTTTTCCTGTTTGAAATTTTTATTACATCATTAATATTAAGCAAAAACTTACTGATATCATGTGTGCTGTTTGTTGAATTGAATGATAAATACCTGTTGAGGTGGATTTTTGGTTCATGGTTATGCACCAGAAAGTTGAACAATTGCTCTCAGTATGTGAAGATAGAACTAGTCTAAATCTATATGTGTGCTATGCTCATCGTGGTAATTGATCTTTAATTAAGTAAAAAAGTAAACCTATGTATAATTTTATATTGACATTTTTAACACAGACACTTGTTAATAATTAATCATGCAAGAAAACCTTACTTTTTTGATAACCTTTATATGTATGTCTTTATGAATAGCTGCAGAACAGACTTGAATATTTTGTATCCTAGTGACTGTGTTTTTTACATATTTTGAAGAAAAAAATCTTACCTGGAATTTTTTAGTCTGTTACTGGAAACATAATATATTTTTTTATTTGGCATAATAATTACATGCATACTTCACATCAAGAATTTCTTTCAATAAACTAATGCTTTTAGTTAAACTTTACATTTCTAGACAATTATAAATTGTCCTTTCAGTTTGGCAAGTGTTAGTATAATGTAACTGTATAGGACTTTTGTATTTTAGGCTATGGCAGGAGAACATATCCACAATCATGAAAGAGATGAACATACCAGAGAAGAATCTATGCTAGTCTGGCGAGGTTTGGTAGCCCTGTTTGGAGTATATATTTTCTTTCTTGCAGAAAGGTTGTTGAATTTGTTTACTGCCTATTATCGAAGGAAAAAGAGTGCCAAGGTATTTTTTGTATTTACTGTTAAAAGATTTGAACATGTTTGTGTTATTAAATGGAATTACTTGGAATTTTTTGTTATTTGAGCAAATATTGTAGGTTTGTTAGGTATCTGTATTATTTGTTTTTTTACATTTGGAATTTTTTAAAACTGTTTAATCAGTTGAATATGCAACATGCAGCAATTTACAAAAATCTGATATTTCATAGGTGTGCAATTTTATACATAGCTACAAATACCTTTAATTTTGAAAAGTTTATTGTCATAATAAGCTCATTTTTTTATTTTTTTCTAATTAGAACTATATCACAAATTTTGTATAAACCTTTTATTTTCTAAATGCTTTGAGGATTTGAATATGAATGTTTTATTTAAGATGTTAATTTATGGAACACAAGATTTTTATTTTTTACTTCTAGGCTGCTGAAGTGCCAAAATTACTGGTTGTTTTTCGTAAGATAGATCGTGATCATAATCGAGCAGTTGGAGAAAAGTTGTCTCATCACAGGCAGAGCTCTTGTGATTATAATGCAGATCCAGCTAATGTTAAAGATTTAGAAAGTATGATTTTTTGCTTCTTATATTCAACTTAAATGTTTTTTTCTATTATTGGAGTCATTATTTTGCAGTATCATACCTATGTACAATACAAAATATGAAATTCCTATCGTGTATTTAATTGAACTGTTTTGAAGAAAAATGAAGCAATATGCATTTGTTTTGAGTCATTACTATTATTTATGTTATGTTTAATAACTTTATGTTGTTATAATATAAATTGATTAATATACAGTGGTATCTATTAACCAGAAGGAGGTGGTTATTTTTCCAGTTATTTCAGTAACAATATAATTAATTATTGTAAACAAAACATACTGCTACAGAATAGAGAATTACAGATTTAATATTTTTATGTATATAAATCTGATTACTTGCAGAAGTAGAGTTGAATATACTAAACTTTTTAAGAGATACATGTAAGCCTACTCAAAAGTCTTAGATCTTATGATCAATTTGTATAGCCTTAAGATTTATTTTTTCCATGTGCTTTTAAGCTTGATTTTCAAAAGAATAGCTTTATGTGTGATGAATTAGTGATGAGGGAAATAAAAATATCTCTATTTAACCATTGTCATTTAGATAATCAAACAAATTTGTTCTATTTGTTTCTCATTATTTATTTACCAAAATATGATGGAAATATTTTCAAAAAGTTTATTAGTAATTTTCATGTATATTGGCAGTCATTTTTTTAATGTTGAGTACTATTCTGAAAAGCTTCAACCTATAATTATACAGTTTTTGTATCTATTATTTAGGGCTATTATGAAAAATAAAGGTCCTGAGAAGTTGTGCTTCTCTATATAAGGAAACTACTAATAATTTTACATTGTGCAAGGGTACTTAACCATTACAGTTTTAAACTGTCTATTATGACTTCTTTTATAGCTCATTGGAAAGACTGTTCATATGGACAGAAAGTTATTTTACACCATGAAAAAGCTCAATGATAAAAACATAGAGTATTTTTGTAATGTAATATAAAAATCTTCCACCAACTGTTTAAAATAAAATGTACAATTTTTTATTAAAATTACCCTTAGCACACAACCAAATTCATGAGAGAAAAACTTAGCACTGTTTTTGGTGTGCATTCATTTACATACACAGTTGCAGTTAGTAATTTTGGAAAATATTCTACGGATTAAATGGCTGCAAAAGATAATGTTTTTACAAAACCACAATGTTTTGTGATTGAGTTCTGTTACTCAAAAGAAAAAATTATATTATTCAAACATACATATATTTGTTAACTACTAGGAATTCATTTTTTATTATCAAACATACCACTTCTTTTTCAACTTTACTACCCTTCAGGGTTGAATGCTGATCCAGAAGATGAAGAAAGGGAGGATGTAGAATACCACGAGCCACTTTCCAAGAAAGGCTCAGGTATTAACTGTGAAGACACATCTTTTTCAGTGGAACCTTGTGAAGCTTCTAACTGTGATACTTTTGGGGTCAAAGACAAGAAAAAGGTTGAGAAGCTGATTTCTTCCACACAGTTAGATGACTCTTGTCATATGATGATGGAAAAGAACATGATACCTGCTGAAGATGAATGCCATAAAGAGACACTGGTATTTCGTCACGATTCCACTGATCACAGCTATGTGGTCACCATGACAGACCACCATCATCACCATGGAGTACATGGTCATAGCCATGAAGTCCCCACATCTGTGTCTGGTGTGGCATGGATGGTGATTTTGGGTGATGGGCTCCACAACTTCTGTGATGGACTGGCAATTGGTAATTTTAAAAATTATGAAACAGTTAATATTTTTGAACAATAGATTGTTTGAATGCAAAAAGTGCTTTCTGCCACTACATGGATTAAATGGCAAATTTTAATGTTGTAAGCTTTGAAGTTTCTCAGTGAGCCATTAGGGGCTTGCACTGGAATTTTAACTTCTGTGTCTTCCATCTCTGTAGTGTTTAAGGTAGAATGTTGATCTCCTATGAATCTCATGCTGAAGAATTTGTAATCCACTTTCAACACAAGACAAGCCCAGTCTAAATAAAATTCAGAGCCAACTCTATCATAATTGAGTGGCTGTAAAATTTACTTAATAGCTTAAAAACTGTGTATTGAAAATCAGTGTTTAAAAGTGAACAAAAATGTGTGTTAAAAATTAATATGATTTTTTTATACATTAAACACAAACTTTTATAGTTTAAATGTAATGCTAATTTATGTCTTTACTTTGCTAAGTTAAAACAAAGTTAAAAGTTTTTAAGGATGGATGTGTGCAAAATTAGGTTTCTTCCTTTTAAGTTTCACTAGTGGTAGTTGTGAAGGAAGATTTTTTAATTTCTGCTGTAAGCCAATCTCAAAGATATGTAAATGCTAGCTTAGTAATTAAGGTTGATAAGTTTTAGAATAGGAAAAGTTCTAATTGTGTTTTTTTATTAAGTAGAGCTTTAAAGAGATATGTGTTTTCAAAACAATATCTTTAATGCACAAAAACTCAAACACAGCATGAAAGTTTTGCTCTGATAGCTTTTGTTTGTTGACAGTGTGCAATATATTTAAATTAAATCCTCTTTATTTTAAGTCTGCTGGTTTTATTTATTGTTTATATTAGTGGAATAATGTGATTTCATCATTTAGGGATACTGTTTTACTTGCATTATACCACATATATCTGTCAAAAAAATTTGAATGCTAAAATTCAGGGTTTGATCCTTGTGGTGGGCACATCTGAGATAGCCCATTGTGCAGATTTGTGCAGAAAACAAACTTATTTAGTAAATGTAAATAATATCAGTTATGTGTAATAGACAAAGTTTTTTCTGTTATTTACAAATATTAGCTTTAGTTCCTTAGAGTAGTGTAATATTTTGGATTTCAATCTAATGGAGATACCTTGGTTCTAACAGTTAGATTCAATGTTATTTTTATTTCAAAGTAAATGTAAAAATTAACATATTTTGAGAGTCACACAACTTGTGAAAACTTATTCATTCTGTCAAGTTATTAAGAACTGTTTTCAATAATCATTCTTAAAATTAAAAAGAAAAGTTAAGATTTACAAATAATGTATCACATTGAGTAATAATATAAATTGCTGATGTACCTTTAAAATCCCTTATCAGGGTAATGGGATTGGGAATGGTTTAGTGGTTAGTATGCCTGGATTATGAATCTGAAGATATGTGTTTCACATCCTTTTGTTTCAAAAACATGTTCTATACTTTGGGTTTCAGGGTATGTTAAAAGAGTAATAACCAAATCCCAGTATTTGGTGTGACAAGAGTGAGCTCAGAGTTAGCAGATGATGTTATTGACTGACTAGCTGCCTTCCTTCTTTTCTGTCAATTCAAACTTAGTGCTGTTGAAGCTTTACACGAAAACTAAGCAACCAGTTTAATGCTTTTTTCTTCATGTTACTGCATGCAAACAATTTAAATAAATATTATAATAAACTTTGATCTGGAATAAACAACCAGAATCTTGATGTTGTGTATTTTTTAAGAATTGTGTTTTGAAGGTCTTTAATTTTTTCTCAGCAGACAACTTTTAAAGTATTGTAGCAGACAAAATATAAAACATCATGAGCTGTAAATTATCTATAGTTGTAATAAAAACTGTTTCTGCACACAAGTTTCAAATGAGCCTTGTGAAAAAGTGTGCTTTCTTCTTTACTGTGCTCATAAAACCCCCTTAAAATGGCAAGGAAATAGAGAATTTTTTCAGAAAGTAAGTAGTTGAACTTGTTGAATGTTTTGAAACAGAATCATAAATAGCTCATTTTAATATTTGTAGGTGCTGCATTTGCGTCTGGAATATCAGGTGGTTTAAGTACAACTATTGCTGTTTTTTGTCACGAGCTGCCTCATGAACTTGGTATGTTGATTTGGCTATTATTATTTTTTTCTTGAGTATGAATATACTTGGATAGATAAGAAAGTATAAATATATATTAATGCTCATAGCAAGGGATTACCCAGAAGGGAATGAAATGTATCTAGTTAGATATATGCTAACCATAAAAGACAAATTAAAAAGTCTGAAGAGTTAGTTTTATAGACTATTAATTATATGAATTTTGACAACTTTGAGTGCATTAACAAATGAATATTTACTGTGGTTATGTAAGGAAGTGGTAGTAGAATGATTGAGGTTTATATAGAACTATTCTGACAAGTAACCTTCAATTTCATTTTAAAAATGAGTTTAACTTTTTGCCACACAGGTGACTTTGCCATGCTGTTGAAAGCAGGAATGTCTGTCAAGCAAGCTTTATTTTATAATGGAATCTCTTCTATCCTGTGTTTTATTGGTATGGTGATTGGAGTAGCCATGGGTAATGTGAGCACTGCTAGTATGTGGATCTTTGCTGGAGCAGCTGGAATGTTTCTGTATATTGCCTTAGTAGATATGGTAAGTAGATCGAATATAATACTCAAAATATGTAGCTACAGTTTGACGTGTATGTGTTACATGAATTGTTATTTTCTTTAATCACTATAAACATCTTTTTTTATGTTTAAAGTCATGTAATTTTGATAAAATGGCAAAATGTTTTAAATCTTTACCTACTTTGTTTTCTTGAAGTAAGGATTTTTTTATGAAACTACAATAATATTTTGTTCTAACACACAATACTAAATTGAAAAAATAATTAACTAGTTTACATGTATAATTGTGTGTGATCTTAGCCCTCTCATGATGCAAATTATCTCTTTCAGCATGGGCTTGGTCCCTCATAACCATTTTGTGCTTGTTATACTTTTCATGCTATAACTTTTAAATTAGTAAGCGAATGTTAAAAATTTGGCAGATTATCAGTAAACATTACAATGCTTTCACAAA